TCCTTCTTCATCATAAAAAAGGGGGTAGGAAAAAAGGGCAGTACGTTTAGATGAAGGATTTACTTGCGTAGGAAGGGCATCAGGAGGTCAATGAATCCCTAGAAGTTTTAGACAAAGTTCAACGTATATGTGTCTTTTTCTGAGAAGTGGTTTCGTGGTTTTCATTAGATTCTCAGTGGGGTCTGCGATTCTAAATTTTAAGAACCTTTGATTTTTAGATAGTCTCTTAGCTTTTCCCTAGTTCTGACAATCTTTGACTCCATCTTTTAAAAATGTCTGTCTAGTTTATTACCATTAGGTACATTCATGAAATACACTCCACTCATGTGTACACTGCCCAGCTAAGTATAAGACAAAAATAGGATGAGACAAGACATGAGCCTACTGGGAATGTATCATTATTATGACCATCATCATTAATGTGGGAAGATGAAGGCAAGGCATAGAATCCTACTGAGACCTGTCACTGAACTACAGACCAATGGACTGTGCAATCAAGCCTTCCTCAAACTCATTTTCTTGGAAATAAAGTTCCTTCCCCACCCTGGCAGAAATTTCAATGAAGAAGTTTATTGTGAATAACAAAATAAGTTTGTGTAACAAATACATTTTCTGGCCCCTGTCCATGTAATGTTCTGTGCATAATTTTTTTAATGGTACTGGTCCTATTTGCATTAATGGACAAGAAAACACAAAAGCAAGTTGAGTTAAAACTGGGCTCCTCCGGGGCATCTGAGTGGCACAGTCAGTTAAGCATCCAGTTCTTGGTTTGGGCTCAGGTTAACATCTCAGGGTCATGAGATCGAACCCTGCATCGGGCTCCATGCTCAGCACAGAGTCTGCTTTTGGTTCTCTCTCCTTCCCACTTGTGCTCTCTCTCAAATAAAAAAATAAATCTTAAAAAAAAATGACACAATTGTGTCATTCCACAGAGTAATAATCCTCCCCATTTTTCACCTCTCTTGAACTTAAGTGTTCCAGATGTTTTAAAAACCCGATTATCTTAACAAATGGTCCCCAGCTTTGAGTCTCTGCAAGGTACTGAAAGGGGAACACAGTTGAATGGGACAGCACCCAGTCTGCATAGAGCTTAGGCTCTTACTAGAGCTTGAGATGAGCATTTAGATCACCATCACGCAAAAACCACGTAACAGAAAGGCTACTGTGATTCTAAAGAAGAAAAGCCTATCTTGGTCGGGGGAAATCGTGCATGGGCCCGTGAAGGAAGTGGTCTTTAAGAGGAGATCTGGAGGGGGAACAGAATTTTGATCTGCAGGAGCAGAGAGCACGAGTACATCTTTGCTGGAGGGATTATCATAAACAAAAGCATAGAAACAGAAAGAAGCATGGGGCCTGTTTAGGGCACAGGAAAGCAGCCCGATTCCCTGCAGAGCCTCCTGGGGTGGGAGGAAAGGAAGTGCGATTGACACCGCATGTAACATCTTTAACCTGAGAATGAAGTGTTTGTACTCAATATTATAAGCAATGGAGATTTCCAAAGGTTTTTGAAGGAAGGGACTAACATCATAGAATTATAGAATTTTTGGATTAAAGATCTCCTTACCTCTGCTTTAGGGACAAGACAGTCAGAACAAGAACGCAGAAAGTTTGCCTGTTTCCTAAATCCCAATTGTTTGCATTAATACCAGCTGCCTCACCAGGTCACGCTGATAGCAGTGTGTAGGGTGGAGAAAAGAGCTCAGGCAGGAGACCAATATGGCAGCCATTATGGGAGTCCAAGTGAGAATTTAAGGTGGAATAATGAGGACCTGAGCATGGGTGGTGGGGGGATGGTCAGAGGAGGGGCTGGAGCTGGGGGAGCCCATGAAGTATCCCTTCTCTCTCCTCCATGGAGCTCGGAACATTACTTGTACATTCACATTAGAGAGGTGTGGCAGGTCCAGAAAACATGAAGTCAACTGGTCCACCCTTGCAAAAAAGAGGCCAGAAATCATGCCAGCAATTATCATAAGCAGTCCTGGAGCTATTCCTTTAAGGGACCAGTAGACGATTTTAGGATTCAGGCAACTCTGAGTGTTTTCTTTTCTGGCTTTGCCAGAGGACCAGGCATACCGCGGCTCAAAAGCCCTTAGCAAATAAGGTTCATCCAGCCCACGGAGTGACTCCCTAAGGGGCTTCTTAGCCACAAAGGAATGTCCGGCATAGAGGGGTCCCCCTCAGGGGCCGATCTCTGGATCACCAGCATCACCTCAGGTCTCCTGCCTTGTCCCTCGTCCGGACCCTTCAGCTCATCAACTCTGACTTTCTACCTGAACCGGGATGTCAGGAGTCTGAGTGTGTCTGACAAAGAACACAGACGTGGCAAAAGCTGAACAGTAGGTGTGAATGGCAAACATCCAGTTGTGCAGAACGCGAAGTCTGGAGTCTACTTTTTCTCCTCCACACGGCCTTCTGTTGGCACTAATTTTATAAGGACAGAACCAACAAAGGAATCATGAGAGGCAGCCTCTGTGATAAAGAGACCATCGGCCCAAAAGATTGTTTTCTCACCAAAGGAATGGTCACACGTCATCGGCGCTCAGTAAAGAAGGGACCATGAATCAGTAACATCTTTTGATCCCTGTCTTGTCAGTTCCTCTTTCTCATGAACTAAGAGGATGACTGTGATCAAGGCCAGTCACTTGGTTGCAAATGACTGTGCAGGACGAATGTCACTTTTCACTTTCCACCATCAACTGTGCCCTGTTGGGGCTGGTAGAGAGCCGGGGTTCGAACACACTTAGCTTAGTTTTCCATCCCTTCCGCACACCCTTCCTCCCCCAGGCCCCTCCTTGAGGTCAGGTTCACCCTGACATCTCACCCTTCAGGAAGAGGGCTAAACAGGATTTCACAGCAAAGAACAACTTTGGTAAGCCCTTCTCCAGTGACAGAAGGCTGTAGACAGGGCGGTTTAGCGAGCACTCTCTCAAGGCAAACAACCTACATTCAAATCCCATCTCTGTTAATTACGAGGTAGCCTCAAGCAAGTTATCTGACCTCTTTACACCTTGATTTCTTCAGCTGTAAAACAGGGAAAATAACAGCGGGTAGCCCATAGGATTGGCGTGAAGGGTAAATGAGTTAACAAGACAGTTCCTATCAAGGGCTCAGCCTAAGTACTTAAAGAATTCCAGCTGTTTTTAATAAGGGGGCTCTGATGTTTGAGCCTAGTGAACATCTGGTGATCCACAGCTTAGGGGCAGAGGCCAGTAAGGGTGACAAAGGTGCCATCCAACTGTGCCAGTTGTGCACAGGAGAAGGACTGCCAATACTTGGCCAGTATCTGAAGGAGCTGAGAAGCTACTGGCCCCTCACCTGCCCCACTTGAGCCAACCATATAGGCTAATGCACCTTTTTTATTTTTCTACCTCGGTGATTACCGACCTGAGGTGGCCTAGAAGGACATGCTTGTGGCAGGTTATAGGTTTAAAAACAAAAAAGAGAGGGGGGGCACCTGGGTGGCTCAGTGGGTTCTGCCTTCGGCTCAGGTCACGATCCCAGGGTCCTGGAATGGAGCCCTGCATCGGGCTCTCTGCTCAGCGGGAGCCTGCTTCCCTTCCTCCCTCCCTGCCTGCCTCTCTGCCTACTTGTGATCTCTGTCTGTCAAATAAATAAATAAAATCTTTTTTAAAAAAAGAGAGAGAGAGAGAGAGAGAGAGAGAGAGAGCTCTAGAAATCCACACCAGGGCAGCTTTTTCGTGCTTCTTCACTTTGGTGTGGGGGTTTTCTAGACATCAGGCCCTGCCACACCCCCTGGTGTTTCAGGCTGTCAGAGCGACAAGGGATTTAGGAACCGTTTAATTTGCTTGCTTTGGAGCTAAGGAAACCAAAGCCCCGGGTAGTGAGTTGTCCAAGATCACCCAGCTGGTCAGCTCAAAACCAGGACTAGTTCTCAGGAGGTCTGATGTCCTGCATCGTGTTCACTCTACAACAACCAACTGGCTCTTTGGTCTTCTGAACCCTGGCTAACTTTTCATCCTGTCCCCAGGGAGCTCCCCACACATCCCTGGTGCATATCATGGCTTTTCTTCCGCTCTCCTGCCTGCCTTCCCTGCCCCTGCCACCTCAGACACTACTGGTCTTCCTGCCTGCTCTTGTCCACACACATCCTTGATGCTACTGTCCTGCCCGGTCCTACAAACCTTCCTGCTTCCAGCCCAAGTGAGAATGTGCCCCAGGGCCTCTGGGCTTTCAGGAGTCCCCCCCTGGGTGACACCCAGCTGGACAACACGAGAGCTCTTCTCTTTGCCCCAGAGTCTGCTTCTCTCTGTCCTTCCATTCCACTCCATTTTCCTTCTGTCTTCCTGACACTCCGCTGCTCAATCTCCCTCAGTCTTGCGCTTCTGCTTCATATCCCCCGTTTTCCTCTTTTTTCCCCGAGCTCCCAACCCCTTCGGCTTCTCCCTCCTCTTGCCCTCCCTGAGTCGTTTTCCCTGCTCCCGGTCCTGCATGCGCTCTGGCCTTTCCCCCTCCACCTTTCCGTCTCCTCCGTCTCTTCCTCCATTCCCTCGCGCCTCCAACACATCTGTTTCTAATCTGAGCCCTCGAGGCGCCTGTTTGAAACAAAAAACTCCCCCCACCCTCAGGAACCTGGCACAAAAATTCCTGAAGAAACCTTCCTCCCTCCCCCAATTCTCCCCCCCGCCCAGCCCCCGCGCAAGACTCCCGAAACTAAACACCAGCCGCCCGCCCGCCCCCCAACCCCCAACCCTCCACCTCGGACGGTTCACGGCCAAACTCCACCAGGAAACACCCCCGGCCCCAGCCCGCTCCCGGGCCCAGATGTGTGAGGCATTTTCGATGGCCGACTGGGCGGGCCTGGGCTGCCAGATGTGCGCCTCCGGAGCGCCGAGCGGGCGCCGAGCCGCGCGCTCTCCCCGGGGGCTGCGGGGACCGGCGTTCGGAGCCCGGGGCTGGCGAGCGCGGGGGCCGCCCGGCGGGTCTCCCGCGCTGCCGAGCACTCACCTAGCCAGAGGAGGACGCGGAGGAGGCTCATCCCGATGCCCGGGCGCGGGCGCTTCCCCGCTCAGGCGCTGCAGGGCTCCGGGGCGGCTGGGCGCAGCCGACGGACCTTGGACGAGCTGGGCGCGGCGCCTCGGGGTGCGCTAGGGGCGGCTGCGGCCATGTGCCGGCGCGGGAGCCCGCCCCGCGCCCAGTCCCCGCGCCCGGTCCCCGCAACCCCCCCGGCGCAGAAGGGCTTCCAGCGCTCGCCCGGACGGGAGCGGGGACCAGGGTCGCGAAGGGAAGGGCCAGGCGGAAAGACGCTACCGCTTCGCGGAACACTTTTCTCTGTTTGGAAAGAAAAAGAAGTGAAGAAAGGGGGGGGGGCGAAAAAAAGAGTGAGCTGGAACCACATGGTCGCCTCCCACCCGCAGCCCCTCCCTCGCCCTCCCCCCGCGCCCCCGCCCGCGCCCGCCTTCGCAGCTCGGGGACCGCGGGCCGGGAGGGCAGGGGGCCGGGCCGCACCGGCTGGAGCGGAGGAGCCGCGGCACCGCGGCCACGAGCGGAGGGCCGAGGCCTTGCCGGGCTTCTCCGTCTCGGTTCCCACTTTGTCCCTCTCTCCACTTCTTTCCTGCATCTCCTTTTCCTACCCCCCCCCTCCACTTCTCTCACGGATCTGCCCTTCTTCCTGCCCCCTTCTGTCTCTCCCCATTTCTCTCCCATTTACATTCTCTGGGCTCCCCTCTCTCACCTCGTCCCTCCTCTCCCTTCTTCCCCTCGCTCCTTCTCTCCTCTCCTCTGCGCTCCCTGTCTGGTTTTGTCACAGGAAACCACAGGCTGACCAGAAGGACGATTAGGCGTGGAAGGGACAGCGGAGACAGCCTAGCAGCCGTCCGCTTGTTGCTCTCCTGGCTTCCGTGCCTGTTTTGGCATCCCGGCCACTGTGTGCCCCGCCCTCCCTTGGCCTTTCGCACCCGCTCTTTCTCCTTCTGCTGTCAGGAGTTACGGCAGCCCATCCTCGGATCCGGACCCGGGCAGAGCTAAGCTAGCCTTCCCCACCATGCCCCCCCCCCGTCCCCCGCCCGGGAGTGGGGCCCCGGAACTCAGGGGAACCCGTCCGCTAGGAAGCACTGGAGCGAGCTGCGCTGCGCGAGGTGCTGGCCAAAACATGCATCACTCCCTTTCAGAAGGAAAAGGCAGAAGGCGTGGAATTCCCTCTGCATGGAAGGGCCGCGCTCTGGGGCTCCAGGGACCTGGCCTCTAGGCCCTCCAGGGAGCTAAGGCCAAGGCAAGGGGGGCTCCGTGCACTCCGGGTTGGGACTCTCCCCTTGAGCAGCAGTGGCCGTGCGCAGGTTTCCACGGCCCAGGGCTCCTGCGGGGCACACCTATCCTGGGCTCTGAGAAACACTGGTCGCCTGCGCTCTCTGGTTCCCAGACTCTGGATGTCCCTGGCGCTGTGGCTTTGCCTTCAGCCACACTGAGGCGGGAGGAACGGCTCCCCTTCAGCCTCTCCTGTGTCTGTAACCAGTTGGCAGCTGGGACCAGCGCTCTGAGAAGTGGGGATGCTATAGGAGAAAGGAACCCTACAGGCCTGGCCAGCTGCCGGATCACAGATTTGCCCCAATTTTTCCGGTCCTCTTTCTAAGGGTGTTAGATCCCAGGAGCTGTATGGCCCTCTCTAGTCTTTCTGGTTTTAATGAAAACCAACCCATTTCATAGAAGGGGAAAACAGAGGTATGGGACACTCACAAGATCACTCAGAAGGGATGGCAAAAGCAGGGGCTTTTGTAGGAGCTTTGGGATCAGCTGTAAGTTGTTTTAGAATTCTAACATTTATTCATTCCATCCTCCCTTCTTTAATACATATTCATTATGCATCTACTCTTAGCCAGGTGTGTTTTTTTGTTTTGTTTTGTTTTGTTTTTGTTTTTTGGGTTTTTTTTTTTTTTTTTTAGGTGGTGAACACACAAAGTGAATGGAGCTTGGTTATTGACATTTTTTTGAAATTTGGAACTAATTTGTTGGGGCACCAACTACAGACTAGGAATTATATTAATTATTTAACATTTATCTTTGCTTTTATAATAATGCTAAGGTATAGGCATTTTTAATTCCATTTGAAAGATGAGGAAACCATAACCTAAAGAAATTCGTATCTTGTCACGGGTCACAAAATAGTAAACCCCTCCTCCTTCAAGGCACCCCTGTGGCTCAGTAGGTTAAGCGTCTGCTTTCAGGTCAGGTCATGATCCCAGGGTCCTGGGATGGAGCCCCTAGTCTGGCTCCCTGCTCTGTGGGGAGTCTGCTTCTCCCTCTCCGTCAACCAGCTAGTGCTTTCTTTCTCATTCCTTCTCTCTCTCTCTCAAATAAATAAAAAATTTTAAAACCCTCTCTTCTATTAATATCCTAATTTAATATTCTAAAATACTATTTTTTATATTATAAAAGGTTTTAAAGCTCTGAGTATTTTCATTTTCCGTTTTATACTTCTCGTCTAATAGCAGATATCGAAATATTCACAACTATAATTCATATGTGAATGTGTTGAAAAAATGTTTATTCTTCTTAAAGGGTGAGGAAGGTGGGAGGGAAAATATATAGAGAAGGTGACTTTTTCTTATTTCTGCTTTAAAATTTTATTAAGCACCTTGAGTAATTTCAGACTCACAGAAAAGTTGCAAAAATAGTACAAAAAGTTCTTGGATACTCCTAGCCCAGACACCTTCTTTTTTTTTTTTTCTTTCTAAAGGAGGTATTTTGCAAAAGTTTTAAAGCCCCATCTTTAATCTCCCAAGCACTGTGGCCTTTCTCCTGAACTGCGTGACACCATTTTTTGCTGGGGAGCTGGTGTGCATAGGAGGACAGATGTCTGTGGGTGTAAGCAGACGTGTGTTTAAACCAAATTGCTCAAGCAGAAGGTAACAAGACTTCACTCCAAGTCATTAGTCATCAGCATAGGACGTGAGTTGACTAGGCTGAGATTGGGTCATAAACCCTTGGTTTTCCCAGGTCCAGAGTCTTAGAACCAATAGATAGTTGGCCTGTGTTCCTTGGAAAGGGTCTTTGCATCCCTGAAGATGACTGTCCCTCTCTCTGAAGCCTCTTTTCTATTATCCTGCATCTGTGGGCCCAAAGAGGAGAGTGCCTCGGGAGGGCTCATAACTCAGCAGCTCGTTGCCTACCTACACTATGTCCCACACTGACCGGGCTGGGTGCCATGGGAATCCAAAGAGGTATGCGGCAGTCCTTACCCTAAATGGACCTCTCTGTCCAGTGGGAGAGAAAACGTCAACACGTGAAATGTTTCAACAATACAAGAAAGTTATGTAGTTAAGTGCTTGAGTAAATTACCCTGACAGTAAGAAACACTGTGAATTCTCAGGAAGGAGGGAGCACTGTAGGCTGGGTGGTTGTGACGTTTCCTTGAGAGAACGAGGCTTCAGTCCAGCCTTGGGGGCTGAATAGAATCTCATTAGGTGAGAGGACCTGGTGGGCATTTCTGGACAATGACGTAGAAGTAGGGATAGTTTGGTGTATTCAGGGAGCATTGAATGAAATGAAAAATTGGTGTTGGGGAAAAATGCCCTGGGACAGTTAGCCTGAGGCAAAAATGGTGGAGTCCTAAATGTGAGGTAGAAGATTCTGGAAACTATTCTGCAGCTTCTCCAGACTCCTAGAAAAATGTTTAGCAGAGGGGACTTTGATGAGAACCATATTTTAGGAGATATAAATTGGTAGCTTTTGCCCAGAGATGACCCCAATGTTTGGCCAAGGATGGAGGGTTTTAGCACCCCTTTTCATATCCATCAGACTCCCTCCCCCCCATGCTTTAATGATGGCAGTTAACATTCTCTCAATAGTTTCCTTTTTTTTTTTTTTTTTTTAGATTTTATCTATTTATTTGAGAGAGAAAGAGAGTGCACACGAGCAAGCAAGGAGGGGGTGAGGAGGAAAAAGCAGACTCCCTGCTGAGCAGGGAGCCCAAAGCAGGGCTCCATCCCAGGACCCTAATTTAATATTCTAAATGACCTGTGCTGAGGACAGGTGCCCCTCAATGTTTTCTAAAATAATATGCACATGCAGCTTCAAGACAACTGCCTTCTCCTGCTCCCCCACTCTATAGGGAGCCAAGATCGCCACCCTACACCTCTTTTTATAGGAATTTTAGAACCACCACAGGGTGCAGTAAACATTAAACAAAAAACGTGAAGCAGAGGAACTGGTTAGAACCTGTTGCACCACATGGGGAGAAGATGTGAGGGTGGTGAAACGAACATGGGAGATATTTGGAAAAAGATTGCGTAGTTCATAGCTGACGGTCATTGCGGGTCATTGCGGGTAGGAGAGGAGGTAGAAGACAAAAGACGCACCAAAGATAATTATAAGTGATGTCATATATTTCTGTATATGCTAAATTAATAATATTTGTTCATTGACCTAGTATATTTCAGGGCTTAGAAACATCATCAATAAGCCTCATAATACCACATTACAATGAGGAAACTGAGGTTTAGGGAGAGTAAATCAATTGCTTATTGTTCCATGGTTAGTAAGTGTCGGAGTCAGAGATTGAAAGCCCTTATGCCTCACTATCTTTTGTTTTTAAAGATTTTTATTTATTATTTATTTCAGAGAGAAAGAGCCCAAGCAGGGGGAGCTGCAGAGAAGCAGACTGCCTGCTGAGCAGGGAGCCAGACGTGGGGTTCCATCCCAGGACCCTGAGATCATGACCTGAGCCCGAGGCAGACGCTGAACTCTCTGAGCCACCGAGGCACTCCCTTCACTATCTTTTGATGGCACTACTAACAAACTAGGTAAGTTAAGTAAGTTAACTTGTCGGGAAGGGAAAGATACATTTGAGACCTGGTAACTTTAAGGGGTTGGGAGACCATCATTTCTCTATCTACCCATCCACTCATTCATTTGTTTTTTCTATTTTTTCTCTCAATCAAGAACTCAGGAGGCCACCTGGGCAGCTCAGTCGGTTAAGTGGTTAAGTGGCTGCCTTCGGCTCCGATCTGATCTCTGGGTCCTGGGATGGAGCCCCTGGGTTGGGCTCCCTGCTCAGCGGGGAGTCTGCTTCTCTCTCTGCCTCTGCCCTTTCCCCCGCTCATGCTCACTTCTTCTCTCTCTCTCTCAAATAAATAAAAACTTAAAAAATTTTTTCAGCAAATCTTTGTTAGGTACCTACTATGTGCCGAGCACAGGCAAAGATGTCCTTGCCCTCCAGATGTTTGTGGTGAGTTAAGGAAGTTGGAGAACAAAGAATCAGTCAGGCAGAGCAGTGAGAAGTACACAGAACGGGCAAGTTCATGGGGCTGATAGCAGGATTCTGTCCCTAGTGTAGATGATGTCAAGGAAGACCTCCCAGGGGAAGTCCTATAAGCAGAGGGGAGGGGGGCACCGTGAGGAAGAGGGAGATCTGTGCTGCTGCCTCGTCTCACAGGATGACTGGGGACCAGGGACCACACATCTTTCGGTCCCTTCAAGCTCCAGCATCCACTTGTGCCCAGTTGTCTCGGATGAAGATAACAGGCTCAGGACAGCGTTTAGAAGAAGGCAGCTGTGGCAAAATTGCTGTTTGCTGGGCTAGGAGGCAGAAATTTTTGGTTCTTAGTGGCTTTGAGTAGGTCACCTGACTTCGGCAAGCCTTCCTTTCCCCTTTTCCTAACAGTGTTCTGAGGGAGAAATGAGAGAATGAAGAAAGCGCCTTCCACAAGTGTGGTACATGTTCCAACAAAATCAGTTGAGTTCATAGGATTCCATTCCCTGGAGTAAGGAGCCAACTTCTGTCTCATTTCCTTTTTCTACTAAAACAAGGTTATCTTTCTAAGCTCTTTCCTGTCTCACAAGGATACTTCTGGACCTGGCTGTTCAGGGTGCTGTTGCTTTTTATGGCGGGACAGTGCGAGGCCCCAGCTGGCTTTCAGGGTCAGGCCTGAGGCTGTGCCTGGGGAGCCCCGAGAGCTCGTGGAGACTAAGGAATAAGGAGCTCCCACTAATGTTGAGAAAGCAGCTCTTCTCCCCCGAGGGGGCCTGAGTGTGAGGAAGAGGTGCCGAGTGCTGGGCCCTGCTCGGTTCCACACCATGAGAGGACTGTCCCCAACTTTGATCCGTGTGGTCAGTTGAGGGAGGATGCACAGGCCTGTTTCTTGGCACCACAGGGCTTTTGAGGGGGCCGGTGGGAGAATCAAAAACGGAGATGAAACATAGAGGTTTACGTGACTGCTGAGCCGAAGGATTCAGAGTGGCTCCAAATGCCACCCTTTTCCCTGAGGTCAGCTAGCCCCGGGGGTTCCCAGATTCCCCCGAATCCTACTTTCAATTCCTGCTGAAGTCACACCTCAGAGAGGCCGTTCAGACTTTGCAGGAAGACAGGCAGATTTTTTTTTTAAAAGATTTTATTTTTAAGTCATCTCGACACCCAACATGGGGCTCGAACTTGTAACCCTGGGATCAAGAGTCGACACTCTACGGACTGAGCTAGCCGGGGGCCCAAAGACAGGCTGATTTCAAATTCTCGCTACTCTCCTTACAGTGTCCAGCTTGGGCAAGTGTCTACTAATCTCTCTCAACCTTCCTTATTTCATCTGTAAGATTTCTCTAGTGGTTGTTCAGAAGATCACATGAGGCTATATGAGAAAGCACTTAGCACAGGGCACATGAGGGCCCAGCGAAAGTTAGCTCCCTTCTCTGTTCTCCCTTAATGAATACAACAGTAAGTGCCCAAACTTTAGCCTAGACAGTAACGGGATCTACTGGCGCCCCTTTCCCCTCTCAGCTTTGGGAAGATAGCATCTCTCCTTGAAGGATGAAGTCTTGCATTTCCTTAGAAACACAAAGCACAAGGGGGTAGTAAACGTATTTGTAGCTTTCTCCCTTCCTCACCTCATTCCCCATGTCTGAGTTGAGGTCAAAATCAAAAGGCTTTTCTGTGGTTAGTAATACTCAGAAATACCCCCAAAACAAACTGTCATAGAGAAGCCAAGTAGGAGAGGAACACGATTCAGCACAGAATTTCAGATCCTTGGCTCTAAGGGAGTATGAGAAGCATCCCCTCTAATTTGTTTATTTTACGAAAGGACACAAGCTCAGAGAGGAATAGCAACTCGTCCAGGGCTACACAGCGAGTTGGTGGTGTTCAAGTTAAGAAGATTCCTAGTCTGATTCCTAGACCACGGTCTCGGGTGGGCTGCTACGATTCCATGGGTGACCAGACCCATGTCTGGCTTCCTTCTGCAGCCAGGCAGAGCCCTAGGTGATTTTTCTGAGAACCCGGCAGCCTGTTTCCTTCTGTGACATGTAAGCCCGTAGCAGAGAATGCAAACTGCCAAACCTAAAGACAGAAATAATTCATATCTTTCCAGCTGGGGAATGGAGACCTGCTGTCCCCAGCTCAAAGGAGCGCTCATGCACTTTTCATTCATTCAGGCTTAAAAGACGTGTTCCAGCCCGAAAGCCTGAATTAGATCCCCGCGCACCTCCCCACCTCACCCCATGCAGCTGCTGTCTCCACTATGGAGCTGCATGGGTCTGTAGACTTCCTTCTGGTTGAACTTCCCCATTTTACAGACTGAGCCCCAGCCTGCGGATGTGCTATCTCAGGGTCACACTCAAGTTAGAGGCAGAGCCAAGCTTGAGGCTGGTTGCCTAGCGACCAGACCCGTTCTCTTTCCAGCCGTGTGGAAGATTACCAGACAGCCTCTTCCTAAAAGGTCAGAAATGAGAACAGAAAAACCCATGGTGTTGGCTGGCAGGAACAGGTGTGATAGGACCCAGGAAAGAGCTGGAAATTTTTTTCTTTTTTTTTTTTCTAGAAATGGACGAGGCTGTCAAAACCGCAGTGTAAAAGGGAGGATGACATATGCGAAACCTGGATATGCCCCCAGGGTCCTGAGGGGAACTCATATTTTCGTGGGCTGAGATGCTGAGGGCTGTCCACAGCTGCGAGCAGCTGCTCATTGGCAAGACTGATGTCTGTGGTGGCCAGGCTGAGGGGACAGGCGACTGGGAGGAACATCTCCCACTTTCCCAACTACCACACACCCACGAGCACATGACACACGTCACTGTCTTGCAGCCTCTTGCTTTGTCTGGCATCTCTCCTGACTATACTGTTCCGGGGAGCAGGGTTGGGGAATAGGACAGCTGTGGCTGGAAACAGCCCTCTGAGAGGCAGTGGAGAGTAGTGGACAGAGCCCGAGGAGTGACATCAGGAGACCAGGATTGCAGCAGACTTGGCTTTTCTGAGAGTCACTTTGAACAAATTATTGAACCTGAGCCTTCATTTTTTTTTTGTCTGAAGAAAATACTGCTGCTGGTGCTTTGTAAACTCTTGAGTTCTTGAGGAACGTGAGGTAAATATTATTAAGAGTGTCAATGGTAGGAATTGAAATGACCTAATTTGAGTGGGTCATTCTTCTCTGTGCCCCCTGTTTCCCAGTTAGGGTAGAGAATCAGTCAGTCAAGGAATGTTTAGTGCAACCCCATGACAGACACGGCGGGGCCCACAGAGGAAATAGAGCCCAGCCACGGGACTCGGAGTGAGGCTTCTCCCCTCTGACTTCCCCAAGCATGTGCCAAGCACAAAGACAGGTTCACTGGATCACCCAGCCTTCAGCCTGAGACATATTAGTGAAGTGCTTCAGAATTTAGAAGGAGGAAACTATTATTTTGTCCTGTGTGGTCATCAGGGACTGCTTCGTGAAGGAGGTGACTTTTAAGGAGGATAAAATTTGTACATCCAAGATTGGGAGAATCAGACATGGTTCCCAGTCCCAAACTCACCAGCCCGGAGCTTCCCCACTGTTCTGAACCACATTAGAGGGAATCCAGCAGTTCTTGCCAGGTGGAGAAATTATAACTCTGGACATAATCGGATATAACATCTTGTACTCACAGAGCACTCACTTCAAAGCCCTTTAAAGATACGATCTAACTCATCTCTCCGAAGTGGGCAGAGGTAGATAAACAATAAAGAAGGAAACTCACAGACATGAAATGAGGTCTCAAGATTCTAGAGCCATTTGGAAGACAAGCCTGCTGATCCCCTTCTTGGAACTCTCCTCCTCCATCTTTATCCGCGGACATGCCCCCCTCGCCGGTGTGGGCACTCACACGGACCCTCTGGTTATGGAGCAAGGGGCTGATCCACTATGAATGCATCCTTAATGAATTCTTATGCACAGTGAAGGTAAATGAAATTCCTATAAGGAGGCTCTGTGCTTTTAGTTGGTTCCTTATCCCAAGAGCAAGTCAGGTATCTGGAGTGCTCTCTCTGGTGACCAGTGAAAGCTTTCGTGAGATTCTTGGCTGGGCTCAGGGCTGGTGGGTCAAGTGGAAGCTAACTCGGTTTCCCCGGGACCGTTCTTTAATCCCTCTGAAAGAAACTGACCCTGATAACCGCGTGTTTAAGAATCATCCATCTAGGGGTGCCAGTGGGTTAAAGCCTCTGCCTTTGGCTCAGGTCATGATCCCGGGTCCTGGGATCGAGACCCGCATCGGGCTCTCTGCTCAGCAGGGGACCCGCTTCCTCTTCTCTCTCTCTCTGTCTGCCTCTCTGCCTACTTGTGATCTCTGTCTGTCAAATAATAAATAAATAAAATCTTTAAAAAAAAAAAAGAATCATCCATCTACACACTCAATAGGATGGCTCACATAAAACACACAAACAAACCAAAACCAGGACATAACAAGTGATGATGAGAATGTGGAGATATCCAGACCCTTGGGCACTCTCGGTGGGGATATAAAATGGCATAGCTGCTGAGGAAAACAGTATGATGATTCCTCAAAAAAACTAAACATAGAAGTACCATATAGCCCAGGGATTTCACGTCTGGATATAGTCTCAGAAGAATTGAAGGCAGGGACCCCAAAAGGTATTTGCCCACCCATGTTCATAGCAGTATCATTCACCATAGCCAAAACGTGGAAAAGACCCAAGTGACCCAAATTTTCACCAACAGACGAATCAGATGAATCCACAAACAGAACGTGGCGTATACACACAGTAGAATATTATTCGGCCTTTAAAAAGAAGGAAATTCTGTCACATGCTACCATATGAATGAACCTGAAGGACATTATGTTAAGTGACATAAGCCTGTCACGGAAAGACAAATACTGTAGGATTCCACTTATACGGAGGACATAGTGTGGTCTTTTTCGCTTATGTATTTAATATATTTAATATAATTAATATAATTAATTAATCAGAGAGAGGGAACACAAGAGTGAGCAGCACACACAGGGAGAGAGGCAGGCAGAGGGAGAGACTCCCTGCTGAGCAAGGAGCCCAATGCGGGACTCGATCTCAGGATCCTGATCATGACCTGAGCTGAAGGCAGAGGCTTCACTGACTGAGCCACCCAGGCCTCCCGTGTGGTTCAATTTAGAAAGACAGAAAATAGCGTGGGAATTTTCAGGGGGTTAGGGCAGGACAGAATGAAGAGTTGGTGTTTAACGGGTTCAGAGTGTTAACTTTGCAAGATGGAAACATTTCTGGAGATGGGTGCTGGTGGTGGTTGCCTAACGATTCAAATATACTTTAAAATTTTTTTTATTTATTTGTTTGTCAGAGAGAGAGAGAGAGCACAATCGTGGGGAGCAGCAGGCAGAGGGAGAAGCAGGCTCCCAGGAAGCCCGAGTGAGGCTGGATCCCAGGACCCAAGGATCATGACCTGAGCCGAAGGCAGACACTTAACCAACTGAGCCACCCAGGTGTCACGATTTAAATATACTTAATGCCACTGAACTGTACACTTAAATACGGCTAAGATGATAAATTTAATGTTACATGTATTTTACCGCAATAAGAAAAATTATTCCTACAACATCCTCTACAACATCACTTCCTTAAAAAAAAAAAAAAAAAAAACAAACAAAAAAAAAAACTCCTCCCAAACTGTCCAGGTCAGGTGTGACTTCGTCTATCTTTCGGAGATCATTATAGAATTCAAATTGTTCAATCTCGAATCAGAAAGCCCAGATTCAAATCTCAATTCTCCCACTTGTTAGCTGTTTGTTCTTTTTCTTACTGAGCCTGACTTTCCTTGTCTTTGGTCAAATATAATATCCAATTATTACTTCACCAGACAGATGTGAAGATCTAATGACATAATTTTCTTTTAATTGGTCAAAAGTCTCTTTTAGAAAATTAACATATAATGCATTATTTGTTTCAGGGGTACAGGTCTCCAATGACATAATTTATGTGCATGTAGTTAGCAAACCACAGAATGCTAAACAAATATGAGTTTTCCAGAGAACAATGAGGTTCTCTCTGGGGCCTACGGTAATATTTTCCAGCTTTTCTTGCCAAAAAGCTCCTTCAGTCACACCTACATTCCTTCTAATGCAGCTTCAGCCAGCTTGGAAATAGCCTTTCCATTGGGACATTTCCAAATCCCCAGTTTAGAGATCCTTCCATCTGGCAGGTGTCAAAGGGGACACCAGGAACTGTAAGCAGAACCATTTGGAACCAATAACTCTTCCGGTCCGAGGACAGAATCCTTCTCCAGGTCTCCAGCAAATTCCTGGCTGTCATAGCAACCCCAAAAGCAAAGGAGGACTGTTTAGCATCGTCTTTGACTGCATCCTGGGCGAGGAATGCACTCAGGTTGGCCCAAGTAAACAGTGTTCACTGGTAAGCACTCTGTGCCTCTCTCTCTGGGCCTGAGCTGGCTGAGGCAGGGAGCTGGCCAGCCTCAAGCCCACTGATTCCGACCTGTGTCACAACTCTCCATCTGCTGCTCCTCTCCCAGTGGCTTGGCCAGATCCAGAGTGGGGAGGGGTTTCCTAGAAGAGGCCCACTTGGGATTTGAAATTAACTCCACCTTGTATGGTCTACACCTTGCATGAAGACGTATAAAGATGGCTTGGGGAGGAGGTGGCTGATG